GTCCGCTGTGGAGGAGGACGAGGAGGAGGAGGACGAGGAGGAGGAAGATGAGGAGCTCAGGGTCCGGCCTGAATGCTTGTAGGCTGCAACGAGCTCCTGCAGCCGCTCCGGCGTGGGCTCCCACTTGGCAAAGCCGGCGCTGTTCTGCAGGAAGAGGACGGCTGTGTTGTGCACAGCCTTGTAGTACATCTCCTCTCTGCAAGGGAAGAGCACAGGCATCAGCACCTCCCCTGGCCCCCAGCACTGGACACCTGCTCCTCCTCTTCCTGCCTGCCATCCTTAGGACAAGTGTTTGCCCCTGTCCTTTCTCATTATTCTGAGGAAAATTGGAGGCACAGTGCAGCCTCGGGCAGTTCTGAGTACGGCAGAGGCTCCTGAGCTTTCAGAGGGAAGCACTCGTGCTGCAGAGCCCCACTGCTCTCTACCAGCATGTGCTGGGACCTCGCTGTCCCTGCCAAAGGGACTCAGCACAGTGAGTCATCACTCCTAACCAGGTAAGGAGAACTTCAGTTTTCATGCACTTGTTGCTTAAACAAGTTGTTGCTCAAACTTGTTGCCTCAGTAGCAGAGCAAGGGCCAGCCTGCCCCACTGGGGACTGAGCCCCCACTGCCCCTTGCCTCTGCTCCCCACAGTGATACCCAGCTGCTGCGGCTCAGCCGGCTCACAGGTCCAAGGGCTGGCAGAGGAGCACGGATCAGCACCACAGGTGTGACCTGTTCCGGCTGTACTCGTGCCCAAGGCACACATCTCTCACAAGCTCTGTTAGCAGTCATTAAACAGACATGGAATTCACAATGCTGTCTGCTCATCCTGAACACCCAGGGTGATGATGCGCTGCGTTTGTCCTTGCCTGCTCCCTGCTTCCCACTGATCTCAGCTTGGGAGAGGATATTTCTGTCACACAGCTTCAGAGCCGTGTTCCCAGAAGGATCTGAGAACAAAGCCTACTTTTTGCAGACGTGCTGGGACCCGCTGCGATACTCGTGATCGAAGGCCGGCAGGATGAGCTGGTGCCGCTTGAACTTGCTCTGCTCCATGCGGGTCAGGGCCGGCGTGGGGGGGTCCCGCCACTCAGGGATGAAGACAATGAAGGACAGTGGCTCGCTGGAGCTCTCCAGCAGTTTCTAGTGCAACAAGAAAAGGAATAATCTTAGCACTGGCTGAGCAATGACGTGTCTAAATGAGCCCTATGGAAAGGAAACGCTTCTGCTTCCAGAGTGGAGCCGCAGCCATCACCATCCTCTGCCCCTGCCCTCAGCCCCGCCATGGGGAGCACAGGATGGACGGCACAGCTCCATCCCAAACCACCTCACCAGTGAGCAGACATACCTCAAAGTGAGAGACCATGGCATCCATCAGCTCCTCACAGAACGGCGGATTTGCCTCAAAAGAGCCACTTATAGGGAAGAAATCCAGGCATGGGCTGGAGAAAGAGGCAAAGATCCCTATCAGTCCGACCTGAGTCATCCATGGGCACGCACTCACACAGACACACAGCAAGGGAATGTAAGACTCACCCCCTGGATCCAAAATACCCGTCTGTGTCCAAGAAGGCCGAACAGTACTGTTTAAAATAGCAATTCAGGGGCGAGGCAAAGCATTCAAAACTCACTCCAAAGAGCTTGTGGAGGGCTTCGAAGATGTGCACGGGAAGTGCCCCTTGCAGACCAGTCCCTTCGTACAGCCCCACACCGAACATCATCTGAGGAGAGCAAACCCCAGTGAGCTGTGCCTGCACTTGCTGTTCCTGCTGCTCCCTTCACTGACCAGGCACCCAGAGCCACACGTCCATGCACCCCTCCTCTAGGTACGCAGGGCCCCCTCATCCTTTCTCAAATTTGTGTAGGTCCCTGCATGTACCCAAGAATGCTCTTCAGAGACTTCCTCCAACTCTGGCCCCACGGAACCATCATTTTTCTTTTGTACCCCTATGAGCCTTCAGTTGCCCCTCAGAGTCAAGAGCTATTGAAGGTTTTCTTCACAAAAATCTTTACCCTCATATCAAGACTACAACCACTCCCCAGACCATATTCCTACCTCAGCACAATTGGAAGTAGACAACAGACCCAGTTTAAACCCTGTCTTGCTCCAGGCTCCCAGAGCCATGTCCCTTCCCCAGAACAACGACAAGTTCAGCTCCCAGTGCTGTCAAGGCTTTCTGATGTACAGCTGTGGTGAGACTTTACCTGATATCGACGGAGAAGGCACCAAACCCTGGGCAGGAACTTTTCAAAGCCCGAGTCGTCGATGCAGCTGTACCGATAGAGAAGCCACTGGAAGAGAAAGCCCAGACACTGAACACACCAGGAATAGACAAGGAATGGGATACACACATGTTGTGACAGGGAGAGGGATGCTGAGGAGCAGGTGGGCTCTGCAGGGAGGTGTGTCAGTACATCTGCTGTCACTGTGTGAGCCACCAGCTCATCACCAGCATGAATGAACCACCACACCAGCACATGTCTCTCAGCAAAGGCTGCCTTGCTGCGAGTATACAACATTCTGGCTGCACAGCACGTATCCAGAGCACACACCCAACAGCTGGGAAATACTCCCAGCAGGAGCCTAATCCCGACTAAGGTGAGAGCAGCTGCCCCCTTCCCTGTGGCAGCGTCTGACAGCTCTGTGGGGTCAGCTGGCCATCCTCTGCCCTGCCCTGCCCTTGGAGGCTGGTGCCCAGCCCTTACCAGCTTGCTGAAGTAGTTGCGGCTCACTTTGACCATCTCCCCCTTGTACCGCACACACGCCACGTTGTTCTCCATGTGCATCTCCACGCTGGGGAGTGGTGGGGAGGGGATGGCCAGTCTCACAGGGTAACAGTACACCAGCCTGTCCTGGACCTCAGGAGCTTCCACCTCAGCTACAGAGAACAAAGAGAAAGGCAGCCCATGAGAAGCCAAGGGCATTTGGGACCAATCTTCCTTCCACCTCAAACACACAGTGACCCCAATAAGGCTAAAGAGCAGGGTGGTCCTCCCAAAAAACACTGTGGTGGTCCCTTGCAGATCTCGTAGACAGCTACCTAGGTTCAGTGCTGATTCCCCAAATTAATTCCATCTCCCACTGCCAGAGCACAGAGAAGACCCACTTCACAGCATTTTCTCCATCTCTAACCCAGCAGAGCTGCAGATAGCACACAGCCACCCCAGTGTCCTGAGGCATGTTCCAGAAACACAAACACTCTCTCTGCTGCTACTGGTTCTATTTCAGTTTGCCCCAAAGTCATCCAACACACAGTAAAAATTCCAAGGCTGCCAAAATGCAGAAGGCAAAGGAATCTCCCTGCACCTTGTGGTTACCCATTGCCTCGGCATCAGGGAGAGCTCACAGGAGAGGTCAGCTGGAAGGAATCCCTGACTCAGTGGGGTTAGAAGACAAGCAGCAAAAACAATGGCAAAAGGCAAACACTGGGACGTGAAGAGAGTCTGAGGAGGGCCAGGACCCAAAAGGGAAAAGGACTACAAACAGTGGTGATGAAAGAAGTGGGGCCCATGGAGGAAGGAACAGGTGACTAGAGGCAAAAATACAGACATGAATTAGGAAGGAAGAGCAGAGAAAAGATCAAGGAATGTGACCTCTCTGCCAGGAAAGGGTGCACAGTGACATGCTGGGAGGCACAGGGGAGCACACGGTGCTCAGAACACAAGAAATGTGACAAATGAGAATACACAGAGAACACTTGGTGTTAGGAAGGGGATGTCAGCTGTCCCCAGGAATTCATGAAGCAGCAGAGCGAAAAGTAACGGTCCAGGGAAATGAACAAATGCCCTGTTCAGTGTGACCAGCTCCTAACAAGCTACTTCACGCTGGCAAATCACACGTTGATGGTATTTGATGTTACAGGCAGTCACAGCAACTGATGGAAGACAGTCTGTCACTGCACGGGCACTGTGTGACTGCCAGCTGAAGCCTATGCTGGAGGGGCTGTTTCTGACTTTGAAATCCCACCCTGTGGATGCAGAGCTGCCCTCCCAACAGGTGACACTCTGAACGAGGACAGACCACAGCACGAGGCCTTCGGCTGCAGTGCTGTACCCCTACAGATCTTCAGAGTTGGCTGCGTACCAGAGATATTGTTCTCTTTGAGTATGGCAAGATGCTTCTCCCGGATCCGCTTGACGTATTCCAGGGATATGTAGTAAATCTTACTACAGATGCCTTCCACGGAGTCCTTGGCTGCAGCAGACACGTGGGGCCCACACTGTTTGCGTAAGTGCTCCAGGCGGTCCTGCGGAACCAGAGAACCAGAGTCCCTCACACGGCCACCACCGACTCCCCGGGGGCACTCAGCGACTCTGGGCTGCTCTCCCTTGGCACACAGCAAAGAGAAGCAATGGCAGCTGTCTCCAGAAGGACCTGTACCTGTCCCCACGTGCCCCCCTCCCCGGCTCCCTGCAGGACACTGACCATGTAGTCCTCCTTGGAGGCGGAATGGTCCCGTCGCAGCCAGCTGAATGTGTCCTCCACGTTCCACTTCACCACCTTCCTGCTGTCTGGGGAAGCACTCCTGCAAAAACAGAGGCAAAATGTAACCCATGGCTGCACAGCAAGGTATTCCACCCCCCTGCAACGTTTTCTGTCAGTGTGGAATGTGGCCACAGCCACTTGATCAAGGCCCTGCCCTGTCACCTCCCTCCAGTTCTCCTTTAGAAAGTGCTTCTAGATGTTTACATTACTAGAGACTGCCATGCTCTCTCCAAAACTCAGTGTAGCTGGCTGCTGTCCTCTCTGCAACAGGAGAGGCCCACAAAACTTTTATCTGTCATGGCAATGGTCCATTTTGATGTTGCCTTTAATTTTCAAATATTGCTAGGAGCTTGCGACTCTAAGAAAACTACGCTGTTAACAAGGTTTTTCTTTTGCCCCATAAAGTTCTCCCCACAGTCTTCCTCAATTCTGTCCTGTGGCAGAACTGGCCACAAAAACCCCACCTGGTATACAAAATGCCACTCTGAGCTTGTTGCTCTGTAACAGCAGTGAGTGCTCAAGCACTCCTGTTTTTATCTCAGGGATGACAGATGACTTCACTGACTCTCACTTGTCTCCACACACATTCTGGCTTCCCAGCATTACATTTTACAGTAATGTCACTATCAAAAGATGCCTCCAACACTACTGCTTTTCTTCTACATGTTCTTAACACTGCTTTTCCTCAACAAAATTATGACTAGCAATGCATAAGGCAGGACGAGCAGCCCCTATAATCCTTTTCTCTTTTCTGAACGTGACAGCACTGCAAGAGGAGCTCCCACCTGGATTCAATCAGGCGTTTCGCAGCCTCGGCATACTTGAAGAGCAGTCTCTTGGCTTCCTCACGGAACTTGATTCTGGATAACCTGAGGTAAATTAAATTCATATGCATCAGTCTCACAAAGGCATGGAGGCCAGGTCCAGTTCCTTGGCTTTCCACTACCAGCATTCCACCACTTCATCAACCAAAGGGAAGCACCACAGCACAGAACCATGGCAGGTAAATCACCAGGCCAGACCAACACAGAACGATCCCAGTAAGGTGCCCTGTCTGTGAATGGTACCTGATGGGAATGTCATTCATGATCTCTCTGAACATGGAAGGAGACACTACTGGCTCGCAGTCACTCGGTAAAAGAGGATCTGTCCCTTTATCAACCACCTTCCTCTCCAACATCCAGCGATTAAAGGACTCCCTTGGGGGGTCAATCCCTGGAGACACACAGAAAAAGAGTTTAACCAACACAATACAGAGATGCCCAGAAGCTCTGGTAAGGATCATCACACAGAGTTCAGCCTAATCAGTTCAACAACCAACAATGTCACAGAGCACAACCATCACGAAAAGAGACCACAGGGACAAGACAGGCATAAGCCAAAAAGAAGATCACCACAGCACGGCAAGACTGAGAAGGAAATCAGGGAACCCAACAGAAACTCACCCTCTCTCTGCTGGCAGAGCTCACGGTAATGCTGCCGCAGCTTGAGAATAAGCTGGGACCGAAGCAGCTCCACCTCAGGGTGTGGAGAAAGCACTTCTGATGGTGCCCTCTGCTTAATCACTGCGTTTGTCTGAATATCCAGGTCCCAATATACTCTGTGGCAGAAGCAAATGTCATCAGGATGGCTAGATCATTCGCTGATTATCAAATATTACTCCTAAAGATGCTTCCTTGGGCTGTTTCACCAGCCAGGAAAACAAACTATCAAGACTCCTGGCAAATATATAGGGAGGTGTCATATGCCCCAGGTTCTTCTCCAAAGATATCTGAAAGCCTGTGCGTCTCTAATCCTCCATGGAGAAAGGAACAGAAGACAAATGGAGACAACTCACTCAGTTGGTCGTAGAAGAGCTGCCTGCTGTTTGTCTTCAGGTGAAACACACCATGCCTTCAAAACAGAGGTTCCTGGAATACTGGGCGAGCTGGGGACTGGCTGAGCAGCTTGGTTCCCAGGGACATCAGTCTGTGTGTGTGAAAGATGAATTACTGCACCACAGACACAGGTAAAAGGGAAGTGGCCTGGTAAACCAAACAGTGCTGTACCAGAACACCACGCAGGACACCCCCGAGAGCTCTCCAGCCCCCCTTGGTTTCAGGTTACACACATTTGTTTCACAGCACCAGACCCACCTTAGGCTTCTTCACACTGTTGCCACTTGGTGGAACCTCCTCCGAGAACCTCCTCTTCCTCTGCTTGCTCTCCACAGAGGTATCTGCCACCCCACCTTCCAGTGGCATTGGAGCCGCGTTCAATCCCAGAGGATCTGACTGTGGGAGTCCAAACAACAGCAGCACACGTCAGCTCACCCGCTGCCACCGCAGCGTCCCGAACAAAGGTAGTAAGCTCTGAACTTCCCATTGCACTGCTCCCAGCTCCCACGTGGATGGAAATAAGGACACCACTATTCACACCAGCACAAAGCTAAAAGATTCTCCTCTAGACCTGTGTCTGCATGCTTTTTTAAAAGACTTGGATGAGAAAAACGCACCACAACTCCCCCACCTGAGTGTTCTTTCAGCATTGCACACCTGGAACAGCACCACCTGAGGGTGCACCTGAAGGAGGAAGATTTTGCCAAAACCACGCTTCAGAGCGAGGAGCTCTGAAGGCACAAAAGACCCTCCCACATCTGTAATCTGAAGTCCACAGACTACGGTCCCTGCTCCTGCAGAACATGCCAGTGCTGGCGCAGCCCCCGAGGTGAGTGTGCACTTACGATGACATCGTGCTGTCCCAGCACAGGCATTTCCCACAGAGACTGGTTCGTGAAGCGATTGAAGTAGTAGGGGCGGTTCTCCCGCTTGCTCCAGCACTTCTCCCAGCCAGCCTGCACCAGCTCATCTGAGAGGACAGAGGGAGTCAGGAGAGGAGCATCCTGCACGACAGCCCTGCCCTGCAGGTCCCAGCTCTGTCACAGCACACACACAGCATACATCGTTCCCAGCCTCCCTCGGCAGCCCCGCTCTGACCCCCTTCCTGCTCCCAGGGCCCTGCAGAATTCCCAAGGGCAGTCTGTACCTGGCAGGTCCTGTACCAGGCGCATGGGTTTGGGGGAGCTGGGCTGGTTCTGGTTGGAGGTGCCAGGTGAGTGACTCATGAGAGACGCTTCCTCCGCAGGGCTTCTGTGATTCTCATTGGCCATTTCTCAGCAACCACACTAGAAAAAACAGACATAACATGCAGAATTATAGCAGGAATGATCCCAGATCCACACAGCTGTAGCACTACAAGTTCATTCTGACAATAAAACGAGGATTGAACCAGTACACACAAACAGCACCTCAGCCCTGAAAAGCACCTGTTATCCTGGACACAACCATCTATGAGGAGTGCTGAGTGTTAAATGGGGCCAGCCAGGGTGTTCTTCAGGCCAGCATTCAAAATATTCACTTTTCAGCTAAGTCTCACCTAAGAGTGGAACATCAGGACTGAGAGTATAAAAAAATAACATACACTCCTCTGTGATTATGTGTCACCTTCTGCCATGCCAATACCACCGGCCATGTCTGATCTGTTATCCTCAGAGACAGTTTAAATCAACACTTACCCACACATAACTGCACATCATTTAAACAAAAGGCTTTAATTAAAAAAAATTCTGCTACATAAAATAGCCCTGGAGCTTCACTAACAACTTCTGTGGTTCAGAGAACCGCAGGCTGGGCGTTGGGACCTCCCAAATTATTTTCCTCCGTATGTCCCAGGCCCACAGTAACTGCTTGGCCTCAGCCAGACTGTTTTGGCCCTTGGTGCTTTTTCATCTGCATAACAACAGTTATGCAAAAGAAGGTCTGTTGGAACAATAAAGCTCCTCTTAATCATAATCTAATGTTGCCAGCTGGAGAGAAACAGCCAGGCTTTTCCTCTCTTAGTCACCACTCTTCCCCCGGGGAAGTTTCTGAAACAGCTCCGCAGATTGCTCCTCTCTGGCAGCCCGAACACACTGGCAATGAACTGGGGGGAAACAAGGCATTTTACGTAATTCCCAGCTACCTCGGATACCAAACTCTATTCAGGCCTTGGAGACACCCCACAGGACACACCAGCACAGTCAAGGCAGCAGCAAAACAGTGCTGTGCACAGCGTGTTGTTCACCTGAGCACGGCAGTAGCCGGAAGCAGAAGCCGCGTATGGCAGCTCTTCAGTAAAAGCTCTGGATTTCTGTGGGCTAAATCACTCGGATTTAATCACCTTTGCTGCCCTTCCTGTGCATAAAGCCCACTGGCTATTTCAGCAGAGCAGAATGGCAGGAGGCAGCAGCTATCTGTAGCTCCGCTGCCCACAGCACCAGCTGTGGAATCAGTGCTGAGGAACTCAACCCTTTCAGCCCCTCAGAAGATGTTTCCATCCTTCCAGGCAGTGTATGCAAGGAAAGGTGTGGGACACTGCAGAGTTTGGGTCTCTGCTGAGGAGCAGGCAGGTGACAATCCCCATGCCTGCTGCAGAGTGCTGGATGCAATCACGGGCCTTTAACAGCCTCAGCAGGTGAACGTTGTGCAATTTCACACTGAACTCCAACCCCGCCATGCCCTCACAGTCACTTCACAAAGGTGCCAAGGTGAGCCAAGCCAGTGGCAGAGCAGTCAGGGTGGCAGCCTGACCCCTGTCAAGCTGTGGGCATAGGGACTACAGGGACCCCAAGGCAGGAGCCTCACCCGGCCGGTGCAGAAAACTCTGAAGGATGTTTAGCCCCTCCTCCTACTCAAACTAAAACCACACGTGCACATGCACCTGCTGCTGTGTCCTGCACGTTGCACAGAGCACACACTGTATTGAACTGGTATGTACTGGGGGGACCAGGGTTCCCAAAGGGATGGAGGTCAGTATACAGACAGCACTGGGCACCGAGCCCTGCCCAGCCCGGATGGCACACACCAGCTCCAGTGACCTGCCAGTGTTTTTCACCACCTATCGCTCAAAAGAGCTGTCAAATAGGGTCACTGGCTCTGCCTTCTCCCATTTATGGATAAACTGGAATGGGGGAAGTAGCCAAGAAGCTTTATCACTTGATCAGTGTTGATGAGTATTAAATCCAAGTACCCTTAAGGTCTGGGAAGAGGAAACAGCCAAACTAACAAGAATCCTGGCAGAAGCAACTCTACTTTTATGTAACTACACTGGGACTTAGACAGTGACAGGGATCCAGAGGAAGCATTTTGTGGTGATTACGGAATGTTTTTATACACCATGGCAATGCATACAGTGCTTCACAGACACGGTACAACGCTGTCCCTGCCCAGAGAGCTTACAACCTAGAGCAGCAGCACAACCGGAGACCACAGCGAGGGGTAAGGAGACACAGAGTAAAGAAGTACAGCAAACAGGACCGGTATTTGTTTCCATTTCACCGAGGTAGGATTTTGTACAAGACAACAGCAAATGCAGACAAAGGAGAGCAGCGACAGCCTCCCGGGACACCCCCGCTTCCCCCCATCCCAGAACCGCGGCTGCTCCAGGAGGCTGGGAACCAGGCCACCGCCTCCCCCGTCGGTA